TCCGTGAAACAATTACTATCAGTTTGTTTTATGTTTCATTTTATTAAATGCCAATGAACAATTATAAATTTAATACACTTTTTACATCAGCTCAAAACTTAATATATTCAGAAATATAAAATATGAAATATTATTTGAAGAGAATTTTTGAAGGGATAATTGCAAAAATGCAATTTTTTGTGTGTATATTTACAAATATGCCACTAATTATGGATTTTAAAACTTTAAATCTTAAAATTCTAAATCCTAAAGAAGAATTTGACCCCTAAAAACTTTTAAATCCCCAAAACTAAATCCTAATAACTCAGTTGCAAATAACAATTTTGGAAGAAACAAACGAAAACATTTACTAAATAAAATAAAAAATGGAAATCATTTAAACAAAAACAATAAGATTATTTAAAATATTCGACTTNTGTCTATACATTTTAATACAATATAATCAACTATTTATGTTTTCACTAATGACTATTGAATACACATTACAATATCTCAAACTAATCGATTTCTACCTACAACTTGAAAACAAAAACCATCATATTATTTCAAACTAATCAATTTTTACCTACAAGTTAAAAAAAAACATCAAATTATTTCAAATTAATCGATTTTTACCTACAAGCTAAACATAAAAAATATATAGTTAGAACATATTATATACGATACAATATGAAAATTAAATAGAGTCTTAACATACACAAAAAAATGAGTAATAAATTTTAATGTTTGTAGAAAATTTTGTTTATTTTTATTACCAAAATTGCAAAACTTAGTGTGAAGAGATGATAGTATGATAACTAATTTACCAAAAACTACTTAACCCTTTTTTAAATATTGACGCAAAATCCATTTTAATGTTGATATCAATATTTAAAAATTAGAAATTATACGAACGATAATTAATACGCAAAATCATAAAATTCGTCGATTTTTTATAAAGATTTTCCTTAAAATCCAGAGCCTTGTGGTCAAGTGGTAAGGAGACGGACTTGTGACGCCAACACGTTACAAGTTCGGTCCACCTGCTACGAACAACTAAAATATATTGCTTTGGACACCCACATAGATATGAGCTCTTGCTTTCAGCCCATTTGCATACATGGAGAGAGGGACTATCCATGAGTTGCACCTCCCCTAAAGATTAGTCTGGACCCCTCCATAGGCCTGAGATTTACCCTGAATCATCAAAAAAACAAAAAAAATATGCAAATTATATCATTGTTATTTCATGTTTAAAATTATATCATTGTTATTTCATGTTTTAAAAAAATTACATACTAAATACAACCAACCACCTAAATTTAATTTGCATATTTGCATATTTTTTTTTCTTATTTCATGTTTAAAGAAGAAGATGAATGATGTTCATTAAATTAGTACTATATGGGTG